GAACGTCCGAATGCCTGTAGTTCCTTCACGAAAGTTGTTCCTTACGTCCTAAGCTTCGAAAACACTATATATATGCAGCTTATACGCACCTATAAACAGTTCATAATTGAGTTTAAATCGGCAGATTTGCCATATGACCCTAACTTGACGAAACGTCCGTAGAACTTTGTAAAAACGATCATAAAAGAGTCCCAAGATGATTACCTTGGAAAACCAAGTATAAATCCTGAAGAACCAGCAAGAATAACAAATTGCTATCTTCCAAGAATAGCTCCAAACACAGCTAATAGAAGGGGGAAACGATTGCAAAGCGTAGAGATTGCGTTTCTAGGGACGGGGGCAAACTTTAACGGTAGAAATCGTTAAAAATGCACCTTAATCACTCAAGAACACCATGGAACCTTCTCTTCAGCTTTCTTACTGTTTTAGGACGAAAATGAAATGTTTTTAGGTCTGAAAAGTCGAATTTTCCGACTTATACTACTTGTTTGACCCGACCCGGTTCGCGACCCGGTTTCAGCCTGGACAGTCCGCGGTAAAATAGTCATAACTTTTTACTCCAATATCCGTTTGATGTGAGGTTTTTTAGTTGAAAACTAGACTCGTAGACCTTAAATTTGATATATAATATGTCCCAAAAAGATCTCATATAACACACGAAATGTATTGCTCAAAAAGTTTTAGTGACACACCTACTTGCCAACTATGCAGTTTGTGCAGTCTCGCGAAACTGCAAATATCTCTCTACCCCGATATCGTATCGACAAACCGTTTAATGCGTTAGAAATTAGACTCATGGATATTCAATTTGATATGTGGATCATCTTGTAATTCCAAATATATTGGGAGAAAAGCTCCACTACATTTGACCTAATGTTTAGCACATTTATAAATGCAACTTGTGATGACCTTTGCCAACTTTTGTTCCACAACTCGATTGACTTCAAAACATAACACACGATTATCATAAACCTAAAATAACTTATAAAATAACCTCTTTATCATGTTAAGAACCCTAGTCTCACCCCAAAGTGCATGTTGTAACATTCCAAACTTGTCGACTTTCGGCGAAACTTATTTTCTTCAATTTGTTTAGCTTCTAAGCCTTTCAAACCATCTTGGTAATTGTTATTCATGATCTTAAATATTTGTAACTTCCAAGGTAACATGATTAACTTACTTTATGTACTTTCAAAGACAATCTCATTTCTGAGCTTACATCAATTGACTTACGACGTACTTTTGCGCACGAAAATGTGGGGTGTAACACCTAGCCGAGAAATAAATTTTTGAAGAAAACTATTTTCTGAAAAATACATGAGTTTTTGAAAATGAAATGTGTTTGAAAGTTGATGGTATCGGGCCCGTATCTTGGTTCCGGAGTCCGATACAGGTCTTATATGTGATTTAAATTGAACCTGTGAAATTTGGTAAGAAACGGACTTGAAACAACGTGAATCGGATCGTTTTTGAGAAAAATTGGAAATTTGAAGTTCTTAAGAAAATTTCTTGATTTTGATGCTAAATTCATAGTTGTTGATGTTATCTTGGTGATTTGAGTGCACGAGCGACTCCGTATGAGGTTTTTGGGTTAGTGTGCATGTTTGGTTTGGAGCCCCGAGGGCTCGGGTGAGTTTTGGATAGGCCATGGGGTGAAATTTGGAATTTGAGTGTTGCAGAATTTAGCTGGTGTGTTGCAGGCCTGAAGGCTTCGCATTTGCGAAGCCTGGCTCGCAAATGCGAGTTCGCAAATGCGAAGTTGCCCAGGCCAGCCCTTCCTCGCAAATGCGAACCACACATCGCAAATGCGACTCCTCCATCGCAAATGCGACTTCGCATTTGCGACAGGTCCATCGCAAATGCGAAAGAGACCTGAAAACTGGCTGTGTCGCAAATGTGAAAGTCCAAATTTTCTGAAGGGTTTGCAATTGCGAACCCTGTTCGCAATTCCTATATCTGCAACCTGCAATTTTTTATACTTAGCCGAAAATCAATCCTTTTTCACATCTTTTCAAAACATAAACTCCCTAGGGCATTTTTTCAAGAACAACCCTTCTTCCAAATAGATTGTAAGTCAATTTTTACTCGTTTCCTTCAATCATTTACATCTTTTAACATGATTTCAACTCATAATCAATGATTTTCATGGGGAAATTGGATGTTTTGGGTAGAACCTAGGTTTTTCAAATTTTGGGGATTTGGACCTCGATTTGAGGTTCGATTTAAAAAAAAATTATATATTTGAGTTCATAGGTGAATGGGTGGTCGGGTTTTGGTTCGAACCTCGGGTTTTGACCATGTGGGCCCGGGGTTGATTTTTGACTTTTTGGGAAAAGCTTTAGAAAACGTATTTCCATGCATTAGAAATTATTTATTTAGCATTCATTGATGTAATTAAGTAACTTGTGACTAGATACGAGCAAATTGGTGGTGGAATCAAGAGGTAAAGCTATAGTTTAGGCTTGAACTGTGTTCGTGGCATCGAGGTAAGTGTTTGGTCTAACCTTAGCTTGAGGGATTAGGAGTTGTGTCCTATTTGCTACTTGTTTCTTGTTGAGTACGACGTATAGGCATGGTGACGAGTATCTATACGTTGGTGTCGGGCATGACCGTGAGTCTTGAATTGTAATTTATTGTGTTCTTAAATAATACTACAGATGCTTAAGTTGATGATTCTCTGTATTGAGCAAGGATTATGATTATTCTCGTGGAAACTACTTATGACTGAGTATTGGTGTTAGCTGAGGTAGTTAGATGTTGGAACAAGTTTGGTTATAGTTGTTTCTCCCTTGCCGGGATAGTGTAGTTCCTTATTGATCCCTTGCCGAGACTCTTGTTATGGTTGTTGTTGATTGCATATGTGGATCGGGTTGCGCGCCGCAACAATATTATATGTTGATCGGGTTGCACGCCGCAACAATGATATGCTTGGATCGGGTTGTATGCCGCAATGATGATATGATTGGATCGGGTTGCACGCCGCAACAATAATATAATCGGATCGGGTTGCACGCCGCAACAGTGTTGTTATATGTTGGGATCGGGTTGTGCGCCGCAACAATTGTTGATACAAAGTGTTCATAGATTGGATACAAATTTCCTTATTATTTTGCTGTGAATTCTAAGTTGTCCTTATGCCTTTATTCTTGATTTACTGTTGATGTTGATATACCCCGCAACATGTACCCCCTTCCATCTTTACTTGTTTATTCCTGTTTTATTTCTCGCTGTATATTATATAACTACACAGGTTTGTTTGGTAGTCTGATCCTAGCCTCATCACTACTTCGCCGAGGTTAGGCTAGGAACTTACCAGCACATGGGGTCGGTTGTACTGATACTACACTCTGCACTATTTTGTGCAGATCCCAGTGCTGCAGATTTCGGACCGCAGTGAGGTTTCAGCTTCTTGCTTACCAGGCGACCCGAGGTAGTCCTGCAGGCGTCTGCAGGCCTTAGCGTCTCCCTCTATCTATTTTCCTGTTTCTTTTATGTAGTCCCGGAGACAGTATTTTGTTATTTCTTCAGACCCTTATTTGTAGTACTCTTAGACAGTCTATGAAGTTGTGACACCAAACCTTGGATAGTTTTGTTAAGGAATTGTATTAGCAGTATTTTTAAGTTTGAAATTTATTCTTCCGCTCGATAAATTATGCTGTTTATTAATTGTTGGTTCTAAGTTGTTAATGAATTTAAAAATGGAAACAAGTCAAATAATTCAGTTGGTTGGCTTGCCTAGCTTTCACTAGTAGGCGCCATCACGACTCCCGAGGGTGGGAAATCCGGGTCGTGACAGAAACACTCTAGTTTTTTACGAATTAAACATGGAAAATAAAACATACATTGAAGAATAATGTTTGTAAAATATTTTTATGAATATTCAAAGAATAATGCATATTCTTTGAACAGAAAGCTAAAAAAAGATACAAAAATATTTTTATCAATATTTTTAAGATATACAAAAATACATTGAAGAATACTTGGAAAATATTTTTACGAATAGTTTGTAGTCATATGACCTACGATAATTACATCGTTGCGATTCACAGTTATATTATAGCCGTTTATATTAATTTCATTAAGTTCATATGTATCGGCCAATGGCATCTATATAAGTCCACCGACTAAGGTTGTAGTCATATGACCTACGGTAATTACATCGTTGCGATTCACAGTTATATTATAGCCGTTTATATAATTTCATTCATTAAGTTCATACGTATCGGCCAATAGCAACCATATAAGTCCATTCACTAATATGATTGTAGTCATATGACCTACTATAATTACATCGTTGCGATTCTTAGTTATATTATAGCCGTTTATATAATTTCATTCATTAAGTTCGTACGTATCGGCCAATGGCAACCATAAACGTCCACTGTCTAGTAAGCTAATTTTTTCGAATGCATTAAGCCGTCTAGTAACAAACACACAGCAAATGATGAATGATTCACAACACGAAACATAAGAAAATTAAAACACGGTATGTAACAAAATTGTCAAAACACGGCATAACAAGATTGTCAAAACACGACATATTACAGAATTGTCAAAACATGGCATGTACCAGAATTATCAAAACACGACATATACTAGTAGTTTAATACAACTTCTGCGTTAGGTGATGCACACCTAAATTTTGAACGCTCAATTAGTGATTTGAGAATTTCATAATCTTCATAGGTCAATGCCTCGATTATGATTCTCATAAGAGCCGGAGACTTTGCCAAAAGAAGCTTCAACAGTTGCATGTGAGGATTTGTCCCTCGAATGCTCCTAATCACAATTATACTGAGGTTGTTGAATGTTGTATCTCCAAAACTTCCTTCCAAATCAAGATTATCCAGTGCTAGAGGTACCCCACTATTATCCACCTAAGAAAGAATTAAAAAAAACACCAAATTTAAATGAGGATCGGAGGTATAAAGAAGCCACTAAGTAATGAGAACTTAAGAAGATAACCAAATGATTAAGTAAGAACCTTGATTTCCAGATATTGTAAATATGGGAGCTTCTCATCAAACACAAAGCACAGGCGACGAAATATAATTCACTCTGATAAAGATCAAAGAGGTAAAGATGTTTCAACACAGTTAAGACGAAAGGGAAGACTAGTTGGTACTTCTCCTGCACCTGCAGCCAATAACTAGAAAGAACATCCCAAATTAAAAGGATGGCTCATAGCCCAAAATATATTCCATCTACGAAAATGCACTACGGTGAAGTTATGAAGCACATTTACCTTGAGACTATGGTTATCCAAATGGAGATGTTCCAGCGCACAAAAAGACTCAAAAAACCTAGTATAGTGATGTTTTGATTCCAGGAAATAGCCTCCCCTAAAAGCAAGCGATAATTGTGCCAGAAGAGGAACAGTTTTTAAATTGATAAACCATACTCTGCCTGTGAAGTCAAGGGACTTCAATTTGGGGGCATTAATTTCAATGACACCGTGGTAATTACCTGGGAGCAGAAACACCAATTGCTCGAGCAACGGGCAATGAGAGATTAAGCTTCCAAGCAATGTGGACAAGATTGTAACATTGTATAGCTTCAGGCTAATTAAACTTTCAAACCCTTTGAAGGCTTGTGGATGAGATATTAAACAATCTTCAAGAGATAGATGCCTCAAATGCACACATTTGAAAAATGAAGCAGGCAATTTGTATGGTTTCCCCCTGATCGGAAATTTAAGAATAAGATGTTCAATACCATTTTCAGAGAGGAACCCTATCAACTGTCTAATATAAGTAAAGTCTTCCAAATACGGAATTGAGAGTGTAAACTGCTTAACTTGTCCTTCATGACGGTTCAAAATGTGGCGGATAATATTTTCAAAGTAACTTATTTGGTGTATTTTCCAAAGTGTTTGATCAAGAGTAAGTTGTGGAATTCTACGCCATTTATATCTCCATTTCCTCGATAAGATGCTTGTTCTAACAGCATCTGGTAAAGGCATATGTATAAGAATATCATCAAGAACATCATCAGGAAGGTTGCTTAGTATATCGAAAGGTAAAGTTCCACTGCAATTTTTTTTTCAACTGGAGGCATCATATTAGGATTAGGATTATAGGGAAAATGATTAAGATTAGAATAAACGAAAGTTAAGATTAAGATTATGGAAAAAGAAGAAGAGGAAGAAGCAAGAAACCTGTTGAAATTCTGAAGATGGAGCGTCAAGGGACCATGGGCGGATCAACTGCAAAAACTAAATTTGGGCGTATCGATTAACTTCCCACGGAAGATATGTATAGTTAAACAACCCAAATTTAGGGTTCCAATGTATATAAATGAAAGCACAAAAAACACAAAAGTGCTAATAGGCGCTTTGGTCAAGTAAGGGTAGTTGTTGCTTTTATTGAGTAAGGCGTCGGGAGATCGAATCTCACCTTTAACAGGGTCAATTTTAATTTTTTCCTTTCAACCCAATCAGTTTTTTTTTTAAAAAAAAATGGTTAAACCAGTAGTTACATTTTTTATCTACTTTATTTATTTCGTTCTTCAGACTAATTTTTCCCTGGATTTTATTTTACCTTCCGCCTTTTTTATTTTTCCTTTTCTATTTTACCTAATAATTCCCTATAACAATAGCCGTTTATAACCTATGCTAATTATATCGTTATGATTCATAGTAATATCGATCGTTTATATAATAGTCGTTTATATTAAGGTCATACGTATCGGCCTACAACAACCATATAAGTCCATTCACTAATATGATTATAGTCATATAGCCTATGATAATATTATCGTTGTGATTCGTAGTAATTGACCGTCTATATATATAATTTCATTCATTAAGGACATACGTATCGACCTATAGCAACCATATAGGTCCATTTACTAATATGATTACCTATGCTAATTATATCGCTGTGATTCATAGTAATATCGACCGTTTATATAATAGCCATTTATACTAAGGTCATACGTATCGGCCTATAGCAACCATATAAGTCCATTCACTAATATGATTGTAGTCATATGACCTATGATAATTATATCGTTGTGATTCGTAGTAATTGACCGTCTATATATATAATTTCATTCATTAAGGTCATACGTATCGGCCTATAGCAACCGTATAGGTCCATTTACTAATATGATTACCTATGCTAATTATATCGTTGTGATTCATAGTAATATCGACCGTTTATATAATAGCCGTTTATATTAAGGTCATACGTATCGGCCGACAGCAACCATATAAGTCCATTCACTAATATGATTGTAGTCATATAACCTATGATAATTATATCATTGTGATTCGTAGTAATTGACCGTCTATAAATATAATTTCATTCATTAAGGTCATACGTATCGGCCTATAGCAACCGTATAGGTCCATTTACTAATATGATTGTAGTCATATAACCTATGCTAATTATATCATTGTGATTCATAGTAATTGACCGTTTATATAATAGTCGTTTATATAATTTAATTCATTAAGGTCATATGTATTGGCCTATAGCAACCATATAAGTCCATTGACTAATATGGTTTTAGTCATATAACCTATGCTAATTATGTCGTTCTGATTCATAGTAATATCGATCGCTTATATAATAGTCGTTTATATTAAGGTCATACGTATCGGCCTATATCAACCATATAAGTCCATTGACTATTATGGTTGCAGTCATATAACATATGATAATTTTGTCATTGTGATTTATAGTAATATCGACCGCTTGTATAATAGCCGTCTATATAATTTCATTAATTAAGGTCATACGTATTACCTTATTTATATAATAGTAAATATATAATTATATATATTTTTATTGGTTAATCTTAATTATGATAAAAGGAAAATTATGATTAAATTTTAGGACTAATGTATTCTAGCTTCTTTATTAGGAGGGAAAACAATATGACATTTTTGGACTAAAATGTTAAATACAATTTTCGGAGGGAAACAAAAGAAAAAGTAAAAATATGATTGGAGGGAAATTGAAAGTTTTTACTCTTTATATATCTCTTAAACACAAGAACAACATCTCCATCTCTCTAAACAAAATAGATACTCTAAACATGAATGCTAACGAATGGATTGAAGAAGAATTCTATCCATGGTTTCGGATGAAGGTGCCCAAATCGTACATTAAGCGTGATTTTCTGGTAATTTTATTTTTCTTAAATTTTCATGATTTGATAACTGTTGATTATCCCAACTAGCAATGAACCCTGAACCCAATTTTTATATTATGTTCTTGCAGTTTATTCCAAAGAGTATATGTGGCTATCTTCCTCCTATTTCGGTTAAAATAATGCTTCGATGTAATGGGAAGGAGTGGGCTGTGACTCTCACAAGTGGTGTTCGGACAAGACTCGTCAATGGGTGAAAACAATTTGTTGTCGACAATAATCTGAAAAAAGGGAATGTCCTTCTCTTTGAACTAGTTGAGGCTACATCAGAGGCTGTAATCTTCTCTGTTGAAGAGCTAGGATTAACTAATGCTTAGCTTGCTAATTTCTTCTCTTTAGTTATATGTAATGACTTCAAATGGATCATAGTAATAGATTAATATGATTGTTCTTTATAATATTATTTGTGTTTTTTCCATTTATTATTGTTATATTTATTTATTTATTTTAAGAAGACTACTGGTTTAAAAATAGCCAATTAAAATTGGAAAGTCATTTAACAATATATTTAGTGCAGAAGTCCCCCAATTCTTTTCTATCATTTTACAACCAAGAACAAGACTAGGAAGATTTTTTTTTTCCAAAAAAGTTTAAAAATCGACATTAATTTGCTCATAGAGAAGTGGAAAAATCAACACGGAAAATCAAAACCTAAACCTAAACCTAAACCTAAACGAACCTAAACCAAAAGAGAACCTAAACCTAAACCTAAACCTGACCAGGGATCAAATAATCTTTACATGGATTACTCAAGTCATCTAAGGTAAAACTATGACATAAAACCTATGAAGTGCACTGGCACTATATGGCAGAAGTTTAAAAAAAATCCAAAATCTGTGAAGTGCATGCCACTATATGGCAGAAGTTTTTTTTTTTAAAAAAAATAATCTAAAATCTGTATAGGCGGATGGATAAATTAAAGACAAGCTTCTATAATTAATTGTAGTCATGGAGGAGAGTAATGGTTGCATGGAGGAGTGTAATGGTGCATAGAGGAGTGAAATAGACTACTGGGAAGTGTAATGGTTGCATGAAGGAGTGGAAGGGGCTACTGGGAAGTGCAATGGATGCATGGAGGATTGGAAGGGGCTGCTAGGATGTGTAATGTCCGCATGGAGGAGCGGATATGGCTATTGGGAAGTGTAATGGTTGCATAGGGTCTCTACAAAGAGACTTTAATTCCTACTGGGAAGTGGAATAACTATTATAATTGAGAGATTATAATCCTCCCTATATATTTTTCGGAAAATATGCTAGACCTACATAAAACAATCAAACTGAAAATACTACTACATCTAAGCATAACGATGAATAGGACTCCGACCAAGAAAGTTGTTGAACAACCACTCCATGGTTCACCGGTTAGTCATAATATTTTGTACCAAGATCTTAAGCGTGACTATAGCAAGCTGAAGCGTGAGGTTAATGAATTGATTGAGAGGGTGGTTCGTGATTCAAGCATTGATTACCTAAAAAGTGTGATGTTGGAGGAGCATCCTCTAACTTCACTCTATACTATGCTTGACGATATGCCCACACCATCCGTCCAGAATGGAGCTAAGAGCAATTCTATCATTGTTATCACTAGTGATACCGAATCCGCTTCCAAGACCTCAAAATCTCTTTCCGTGAACCAGAATATTGAGTAGTCCATGCATTATGAAGTTTTATCTCAAGTTGTCTTTTTGCTTATGGTGATGTTTTTCTAATAGTCTATGAAGTTGTCTACCCCTTATGGTGATGTTTTTATTTATCTTGTTATGTTTTGGTGATGTTATCATGCAATCTAATATTAATGAATGAAATTATTATTATGTTTTGAATCTTTTTTATTTTTTTTATATTTTTTTATGAACTTTTACCAGATTACCTTGGGGTCTTATATTAGCAAAAATAGAGTTTGATGACACAACACAAGGGTATAGAAAGCCCTTCAAAAAATAGTGAGGCATAATGATCATTTGATTCAAGTTAACAAAACAGTCCTATTGTCTTCAATATTGCAACTGTTCGTTTGATGCCTAATGAAATGAAAGTACTAATAGTAACATTTGTAAGGATTAATTAAGTCCTCTAAAATTGGTCAATTTATTTTCCAAATTAATATATAGCACATTCAACTTATGACACCAACATTGGACAATAGGAAAATATATTGTCAATAAATATGAAGATAGTTTAGTACTTCAAGATGCAAAATATAGCACATAATGAACTTATGAAGATAGTTGATGAGTACTTGAAGATAGTTGAGTGCTTATGAATCAATGTAGTCCGGATTAAAACAAGTGCAAAATGATAACAATTTGGCACTTACAAGGTTCCAACAATATAGACAAATTAAGATATTCACTTCAGTTCAAAAAAAAAATTCAACAGACATATTTTATTTAATTCCAACATGGAGTACAAAAGACAAAGGCTTTAGCATCCTAAATACTCTATTCTATAGAGGTTGAATGCGGCAACCAGTAACACATCAAACTGATAATATTCAAACTAAACAATAGTCAAAAGCTGAACAAAATACTCTTATCAACAATCAAACTGAACAATTTTTTGAAATCTTTATCCCTACAAACATTCCAGCTAACAACACAGATGACATAGCACTTGCTCCAACATCACTTTCATCAACACACGAACTTGAAGATTGTTCTTCACTGTAAACATTTTCTTTTTGGAATTCATTGAATGCTGCTACTGCTTCATCATAAGATTTGTAAGACTTGAAGATGCTTCCTTTGAAACCTATACCATAGGAGCACACTCACACCAAGAGTTGTATAATCCTGGTTTTTTACC